ACGTAGAAAACAAAAAGTAAAGTTATGAACTATTGGTGCAATATTACTTTCATAATTCCCACATTTTTTGGTTTTGGAGATATTTTTGCTATAGGGTGCGTATGCTTGCCAGAAAGAGAGAGGCAGAGAGACAGAAAGCGAGAACACACACACACACACACACACACACACACACACACAGTGGGGATGGCCACGCCACAATCCCTTCTTTTCCATTCTTCTCTCAGGATTTTGGGCATGCACACCCATGCACCCGGCATGAGTTTAAGCCACCGGGTCTGGGACTCAAACCGCAGTTGACTCTGTGGGAGTCCAGCGACATAGCCATTACACCAACTGCTGACTGCAATCTTTATTTCTTCATTCAGTCTTATTGAGGATCCCTTCTTTGTAATGAGTCACTTCTTTCTTGGGGCTTTCAGAATTCTTTGCCTTTCAAAAGTTTAGTATAATGTGTTTTCCTGTGGACTTTTTTTTTTTTTCTGTTTTTATTAATTTATTTATCTCAGGGGGCAGGAGCCCCTGATAGGGCCTCATCACACTGTTTCCCCCACCCCAAGCCTTCCAGCTACCCAGGATCACAGGTGCACCCAATGTGTTCAGGGTGACCCATGATCTAAACCACTTGGCTCCAGTTTCACACAGCAGCATTCCCTCTGTTCCACTATGGCCAGGCTGCTTTGAGTTCATCTTACTTGGAGTACATTGAGCTTCTTATCTTCATGTCCTTCAGTAAATGTGGGAAGTTTTCAGCCATTATTTTTTCAAATGTTTTTGTGTGAAGAGGCTCTAAGACTTTGGGCATAGAAGAAGTTCCAGCCTTAAGTATTTTATTCTCTCTTCTGGGCCATTCTGCATCTAGAACCATGTTTGTCCGATTGTCAGGTCATGAGTTCTCTTGGCTGTGATTTTCGGAAGAGAAGAGCAGCTTTGGTGTGAAGAGCAGAGCAGCTTTGGTGTACCCTGTTCACCGTGCCAAATCCCAATGCCTTATTTTCTTCACCAGAAAACTGAAATCACCGCAGGTCAATGGCACCTGGTCAGCCAATCACCTAGGACTGTCCTTGAGACAAGGTGCTCAGGCAGCTGTAGGACGAGTTCTGAGGGTGGCCATTGGCCAAGGGTCACTGTACCGTGAGCGAGACTCCCACGCAGGACCTTGGTCCCTTCGTGGTGACCCATAAACTGTTACTGAACTCAAATCAGGTTCACTTGCCCAAGCGCTAGAAAACAAACCCTAGGCACATGGTGTGATGATGGAAAGTACAGCTTTATTGCAAGGTACAAGCAAGGAGCGCGGCAGCTCATGCTGAAAAGACCTGATCTCGTTTTAAAAGCTTGTCTTAAAAATAGACAATAGTTTGGGACCAGCAGTTAGCGTAATGGCTATGTCGCTGGACTCCCACATAGTCGACTGCGGTTCGCATCCTGGACCCGGTGGCTTAAACTCACGCTGGACGCATGTGTATGCGTGCCCAAGATCCTGAGAGGAGAATGGAGGAGAAGGGATTGCGGCGTGGCCATCTCCCCTGGGGGGGGTGATTTCTCTCTCTCTCTCTCTCTCTCTCTCTCTCTCTCTCTGTCTGGCGAGTGCATGTGCCCTATTGCAAAAACCTCTAAAAAAAAAAATCGACAATAGTTTCCCTCCAAATTAATGTGCTAATTAGAAGTCTAGAATTTTAGCACTGAAAGTGAATTTTAGAGTCTTCTCCAGGCCAGCTTCATTGCCTAGTGGCTAAGGGTGCTGGACCCACATGACCAACTACCATTTGTATTCCTACCCTGGCAGCTTGAAAGCTATACTGGGTGTATGTGCGTGTGTGCCAGAAATCCTGATTGGGTAGCGAAATGGAGGAGAAGGGATTGGAGTGTAACCACACCCCATTGAGGAGTTGCTTTTACTCTCTCTCTCTGTCTCTCTGTTTCTCTGTCTCTCTGTCTCTCTCTGCCAAGTGCATGGTGCTTTCTGGCAGAATCTTCTCCAGCTTTTCACCAGGTTCTGAAATCCCTTTTATTGGACCTCTGTTTGCTTTATAGTCATCTAATTTCTTTACATTTGTGATGGGGACTTCTCTCGCAGAGCAGCCCAGTCCCTCTGGGTTGTACTTCATGGAAATCCCTTGTCTATTCATCAGAAACCTACCTACGGTAGAACAGTGAAGAAACAAAGACATGGCCCCACCATAAAACTACTTTATACGAATTCTTCTTTTCATTGCCAGATGGAGGTTACCATCATGTGTGACTAGCTGGTTTCCTCTTGGTGCCTTGAGACAGGCACTCAGTAATGCTTAGAGAACAAATTCTTTCTCAATTTCTTACGACTTAAACTGGTAATTTGGCGTACGTCTTTTTTGCCTGTATTTGGAAATGTGTGAGGGGAAGGGAGCTCTGTAGGGTAGATGCAGTCAGATTTAGGCTCTCTTTTTCCACTGGTTAAAATGCAAGTGTTCTATAGAGATGTTCTACAGATAGACTGATAACGTATGGCAGACTGTCCAGCAAAGTCAGAAGCGATCCACTTGTTTGCTGACTCTTTATCCTCATCCTTGCCAGCAGACTTGTGCAGAAGAGCACTGCGAGCTGTAAGCTTCCTAACCGCTATTCTGTTTTAGCTCTTGTGTGGAGGAGTAAAAGGGGATGCCTTTGAGAATATAGCACGGTCATGTGCCACTTGGCGGCGTTTCAGTCACTAGTGGACACGACAGCGGAGCGATGGCATATACTGTCTAGGTTTGCATGAATACCCTCTGTGATGTCCACACAATGATGAAATGGCCCAGTGATGGATTTCTCAGAATGTATCCCTGTTGTTAAGCAATGCATGACTAAAATCTGGGAAACTTTAAGACCTAAAACATTAGACATTGAAGATCTCACAGTACCCGGAGCATATCAAGGAAAACTGACTTCACTGGAATGTCTTCTGGATTATTCTACAGGACTCTGGAGTTTAAGAATTCAACTTTTTTTTTTTTTTTTTTTGAGAGGTTTTTGCTATAGTCCACATGTGCTCATCAGAAAGACAGAGAGAGACAGAGACAGAAAGTGAGAAATCACCCCCCAGGGGGATGGCCATGCCACAATCCCTTCTCCTCTATTCTTCTCTCGGGATCTTGGGCACGCACACACACACACCCGCCCAGCGTGAGTTTAAGCCACTGGGCCCGAGACTTGAACTGTGGTTCACTATAGGGGAGTCCAGTGACATAGCCATTATGCCAGCTGCCATTATGCCAACCCGCAGAAGGTTGTGTTACTTCTTCTCTTTGTCATGTTGGCCCCATGTGTTTGCCTGCCCAAAATCCCAAGAGAAGAATGGAGGAGAAGGGCATGGCCATCTCCCGGTGGGTGATTTCTCACTTTCCCTCTCTCTGCCTCTCTCCAGCAGGCAAATGCACCTATGGCAAAAAAAAAAAAAAAAGTCATTCCTTACCGAAGACCCAGTGCTGAAGTGAAAGGCCTGACCAGGTGCCTGCTTGCCAGCCTCTGTGTTGTTCTGAGCATGCCAAGGCCAGAGAGCCTGTTGCTGTCCATGGGCACAGTTGTATCCAGGCAGAGCCTGAGACTAGAACTCAAGATTTTTGACTGTCGGCCTACTAAGACATTAAAAGAGGCAGAAACTCCTGCTTGTGTAATTGGTCACATTTTTAAACTTACCAGAGTTCATGTGGCAAGTCATACCAGTGGGGAGCGGGATGTAGACCTTTTTTCTCCCTTCTTCAAAGCCATGCTGGGTCTCCTGGTATCTCTAGCTTCCTGCTCTGGGCCCGAGCAGCAAGGTGGTTGCTGACATATTCTTCCTTCCAGGCTCTGTGTAGATGTGGATGTCCTTGCTGGCCTTTGAGATAGCCCTCTTACCTGGCCTACCTCTGGCCTGTGCCTCCCCTCCCCCCCAGCTGCCATGAGTACTTGGGGGGGAGTCTAGCAGCCCCACTTCTTGCTCATTCTTTCCTATTCCCTCCTTTGTCCCCTCTACTTCCCCCTCCCAGAGAAAGTTCATGGTCTTCCGCTTTGTGAGGTGTGGACTCTTCAGCTCCGTACCCAGCCCGGTTAGCTTGTCCCTTCATCGCAGGTGGCTTCCCCAGCTGCTCAGGCATCCTCATTCCCCTCTGCTGGACAGGCTGTGATCCCAGCCCCTGACTGCGTGAGAGAGAGTTTACTGGAGCTCCTCGTGCACACGGGTCAGGCCCTGGGCCCAGCCGCCGTGGCTGTGTGTGTGATGTTTTTGGAGCCCATTCCTTTCCTGCCTTCATCCTCTAGGCCTTCACCTGGGCTGTGTGCAACTCAGGAGTGTGTTCTGCTCTTGGCACAGTCTCCTGTTTAATCTTCTTTAAATGCAGCAGTTTTGAAGTCAGCCTCTCCCTAGTCCCTCTTAACCATTTGCATAGCTCCTTGTTGGCCACAGGAGAACCCTAGACTTCTTAGCTAGCCACTCCGAGCCTGCTGCGCTCCGCTCCAGGTGCTTCCTCCATTTTCCCCCTGGCCACAGCCTGTGCACTTGGCTCCTTGCCTCACACCCGGGTCCCTGGAAATCGTCAGCTTCTTCACATAGTCACCACTTCTGTGATCACTTGACACTCGTTTTATTAAGCAGATGTTAGGAGAGACGAACTGCTTTCTTCACAGTGAGGAATGGGTCCCGGGGCAGGAGAGTCAGTCTCCCTGCCCAGCACCTCCCTGGTCAGTGTCTTGTATTGTGTCTACGAGTTTGTAAGTGTGAAGGCAGAGGTCACATCCTCCCCAGCAAGTATTTTGAACAGGAATTTTTTTTTCTCATTACGTAATTATTTTGGCTTTTTTTGATTAAGTTCTGTACATTCCCATTTTAGCTTAGCAAGAATTATAATGTTAAAATTAAGGTTAAAGAAAAAGTACGAATATAAACTCACCTCCAGACTTACCTTAGAAAACTTAATTAGATAGGGTTATTTAAACTTGTGATTTTTCATTAGATTGGCCCTGCTTATATTATTAACTTTTCTGCCTTTTTTCTTTAGTCTGCATGAAGAAATCAGTGATTTTTATGAATACATGTCTCCAAGACCTGAGGAGGAGAAGATGCGGATGGAGGTGGTGAACAGGATCGAGAGCGTGATCAAGGAGCTCTGGCCCAGTGCTGATGTGAGTCCCATCTGGGGTGCTGGTGTTGGGGGTGTCCTCATCCTGGGGCGGAGGCTTGTCTGTTGGTGTCTAATACCAGGTCTACACATGTGGGTCATGAGTATTTTTGTAATTATGGTCTGATTCAATTTTTTAAAAATTATTTTATTTAACTTTATTTATTTATTTTAACTTGACCAGAGAGGGACAGAATGTGTGTGAAAGAGAAAGAAACTGAGAAAGCAAGCCGCCAGGTCCGGGACTCAAACTGTAGTCGGCCATGTGGGAGTCCAGCGCCCTTAAACACCATGCCACCTGTCGGTCCCAAGGACTAATTCAATTCTAAAGCCAAACCTTTTTTCTTTTTTTTTTTTTTTTTTTTTTTTTTTAGCCTTTAGAATTTATGGGATTCTAATTTAGTTTCATCAAATTAGATGATGTAAAGTTGCTTTTTTTTTTTTTCTGAGTAGTGAGTAGTACTGTATTTAGAAATCATTACTGTAAAGAGAAGAAAGACAAATCCCATCTCATTGTAATAGTCTGTTACTGGACGGGATGTATCAGAACCCCTTCGCTACTTTGTTCTAGCCTGGCACTATAAACGTTACATAATTCTTTATAACCGGATGACAGTGTCAAGTAGGAATCTCTTTTGTCACTTGAACTTCCTTTCCTTGGACTAATAACTTTTTCTTGAAACTGTTGTTTTCCTTTTCTCTCTTGTCTGTCAGTACAGCCTCCATTCGGGGCACAAAACATCCAGGATTTCTTCCTTGCTGATTTGTAGCTGTTATTGTTGTTCATGCTTCACTTTTTTTGAAGGGGGAGCTTGAACTATTTAATTATGATTAAAACCCATTCCCGGTACTGCCTGCCTGCTCTTGGCCCCAGGGTGGGAGGTATGGTCTGAACAGAACAGGCAGCATTCCCCCCTCACCCACACACACACCAGTAACAGGGCCACAGATTCCTCTAGATCTAGGTTTCATTTTGCACAAAGGGGTGGGGCTCGGTCTTTCTCGGCAGCTGCTTTCCACATTGTGGCCAGTACGTTACTTAGCTCCTCTCGTGTCCTCTTGATGCGGATGTGTGTCCCCACCCATTTCTTGATGAATTGGGGAACCTACTTGTCCTTGGAGACCTTGAGCAACTCCACACGTGCCACTTGGAGGGGACAAAGCCACATACCTCGCGGATCGTGCTGCGCACGAACTGGGTGTACTTGGTGAGGTGCCCATAGTGGTGGCTGCACCTCAGCTTGCCCACGTTCATGGACACCTTGTGGCCTTTGTTGAGGCCCACGGCCGTGGGGTAGCTCACAGCCATGGCTGCAGCTCTCCAGTGGTTGCTGCACAGAAAGATGCTTCACTTTGTAGGACTTCTTTGGGGGTCCATTCTGTAATTTTGTGCGAAGAACTAACTTTTTAGAATCCATTTCTTTGTGTTCTGTAGTTTTCCTTTAAACTCTGTTTGGGCAGTGGACAGGAAATCAAGCAAGGTTTCATCTAGTAGTCTAAACAAAGAGGTTTCAGTGTAACACTCAGGTACAGAAAAAAAGGCAGTATTTCATCGAGCAATTTCTGTACTGTTTCTCTTATGTGGTCTAAACTTGTAGCTGTCACCTGAAGCTGGTTTTGCTCCCGGGGGGCATTTGGCAATGTTAGACATATTTTTGGCTGTTGAGACTGGGGAAGCAGGACAGGCAGGGTAGTGGGCAGAGTGGGCGGAAGCCTGCTAGACTCGTCTCACATGGACAGGGCAGGCCCTCACAGCCCCAGATGCCAGGGTGCTGAGGTTGAGAACACAGACCTAAATGGTCCTCATGCTTCTGAGGTGGCGGTAGGGGTTTCTCTTCTGTTTCTTGGGGGAAACATGAGGCTGTGGTTAGCGGGTAGGTTCCCAGGTCCCTCTCAGGTCAGAGGTTGAGGCTTTTCATTGTTTATCCTTTATCACAGTTACGCGTGCACACATACCTACCTGAGTGGCACTCCAGCTTTATGCTGTACAGTGGTGTTATAATGACAGGAGCGTGAGGGATCTGCATATTACTTGGGAAGGTTTTCTCTCTTAGTCTACATGTTTTATATTTGCACTTGATGAGTTTAAATTATATTTTGAATGTCTGCCTGTGAGAACAGAATCCCTACTTCATTGAAAGCCTGCTATTAGAAAAAAAAAAATCATAAATGCTCTTGTACTACTAAAATACACCAGTAGAGGGGAGCAGAACCCAGCATTTCTCCATAGCTTGGTGACTTTATCTAATGTCTTACTATAATAACTTCTTTTTCTATTTCAGGTCCAGATATTTGGAAGTTTTAAAACTGGCCTGTATTTACCTACTAGGTTAGTACATTTATGAAGCTTTAAAGTGGTTTTACATTAGTTTCTAGAGTTTATTCATCTTGGCTGTTGAATGTATAAGAATAGAAACAAAAATAGTGAGATTTATGAACCAAAAATTCATTTGCCTGTATTCTGTATGAGTGACCTTGAAGTAGAATATCATTTCAGATCTTTTATCAAGACTGAGATGATTCAGAGGGATACAAAAATTGTTTATCCTTTATCACAGTTACGCGTGCACACATACCTACCTGAGTGGCACTCCAGCTTTATGCTGTACAGTGGTGTTATAATGACAGGAGCGTGAGGGATCTGCATATTACTTGGGAAGGTTTTCTCTCTTAGTCTACATGTTTTATATTTGCACTTGATGAGTTTAAATTATATTTTGAATGTCTGCCTGTGAGAACAGAATCCCTACTTCATTGAAAGCCTGCTATTAGAAAAAAAAAAATCATAAATGCTCTTGTACTACTAAAATACACCAGTAGAGGGGAGCAGAACCCAGCATTTCTCCATAGCTTGGTGACTTTATCTAATGTCTTACTATAATAACTTCTTTTTCTATTTCAGGTCCAGATATTTGGAAGTTTTAAAACTGGCCTGTATTTACCTACTAGGTTAGTACATTTATGAAGCTTTAAAGTGGTTTTACATTAGTTTCTAGAGTTTATTCATCTTGGCTGTTGAATGTATAAGAATAGAAACAAAAATAGTGAGATTTATGAACCAAAAATTCATTTGCCTGTATTCTGTATGAGTGACCTTGAAGTAGAATATCATTTCAGATCTTTTATCAAGACTGAGATGATTCAGAGGGATACAAAAAGGGGCACGTAGTCGTGGAATCACGCAGCTACTAATTTTAGACATGGACTACTGTACAGAGAGCTGCTCAACCCTGTAACAACCCAGCGACACAGACGTTCATGTAGTATCGTGAGAAGACACCTGATTATACCGCAGGGCTAGATACACTCTGGAACGTCAACTCCTTTCTTTCTTTCCTCCTCCTTCCTTCCCTCCCTCCCTTGCTCTTTTTTAAATTAAGAACTCATGCTTCCAGCTGCGGATCCAGCATTCTGACCCAGAATTTCCAGGGTGCAGAACTCTTCCCTGAGGAAGGGCCTGACCTATTTAGGACACTTGTTCAATGTCAGTCTTCCCAAATGAGGCCTCTGTTCACCCCACCTAGGGATCCCTCTGTGGGGATGGCAGTGTTTTCTGAAGGGTGACTTCTCACTCTCTAAGAACTGACATGGTGTGGTCTCTGTGAAGGAAAAACATTCCATTCTTACTTGCTTAAGTTGCCAGAGGATGTGTGTACTTGTCAGAGAGATAAGAGAGTAAGCTAGAGAGGATGAGAGAGAAAGCACTCCCTTCTCCTCCATTTCTCTCTCCTGTTGGGATTTTAGGTACACACACACACACACACACACGTGCCTGGCACGTTTTGCAGGTTGCCAGTCTGGGTTTCTAACTGTGGTCAGCCATGTAGAATCCAGCTCCCTTAACCACCAGGCCCTGGGGATAGCCCCCACGGTGTTTTATGATTTGCGCTTTAGCCGACCTAAAGTATGTTGAAGTGGATGGACCCCAGCCATTGCTGTCCTTGACCTGTTAAAGTCATGAAATAGTCAACTTCAAATTCATTAATATTTTTTCTTTTTTAGGTTTGGAACTTCTGTAAAACCTTTAAAAAAAAATCACTCTTTCTAAAAAGATTAATGAACTTTTATGAATAGATAGTACATTTTCATCGTTTAGGTTTGGAAAAGGCACCAAAATAATTACAGTGAAAAGTCGCAGTCCCAACCCTGTCCTCTCTCTTCTCTTTGGAACAACCGCGGTTACCAGTTTCACACGTCCTTGCAGGCAGACCTGTGCAATGCGAAAGGAACTTGTGTGTGTGCACATGTTTACACAGATTGCTCTGTGACTTGCTTTTTGCATGTAATTTTTTAAAAGAATTATTGTATTTAATTTTACTTATTCATTCATTTATTTTAATTTGACCAGAGAGGGACAGAGTGAGAGAGAAAGAGAGAGAGGGGGAAAGTGAGAAAGCAAGCTGCCAGGTCTGGGACTTGAACTGTGGTCAGCCATATGGGAATGTCCAGCCCCTTAGCCATCATGCCAGCTACTGGTCCCTACATGTAATTTTTTTTTTTTTTGAGAGGTGTTTTGCTATAGGGCGCGTTTGCTTACCAGAAAGACAGAGAGATAGAAGGCGAGAAATCACCCTCTGGGAGGATGGCCATGCTGCAATCCCTTTTCCTCCATTCTACTCTCAGGATCTTGGGCACGCATGCACACGCGCCTGGCATGAGTTTAAGCCACTGGGTCTGAGACTTGAACCACGTGGCTACATGGGAGTTCAATGACCAAGCTATTAGGCTAACTGCTGGTCCCTACATGTAATATTTCTATTTCATAATTATTACTCCCATCTAGATAGGAAAGTCTTGCTTAGTACCAAAAAACCTGTGTGAAAAGAAAACATTAGCTGATAGTTTTTTTTTTTCCCCTTTTAAAATCACCCTATTTCCTGAGGCCTGACTTCTGTGAAATAGCGGCAGGGAGTAGATAGTTGTTAAAATCAACAACCTGGGGGACCAGCAGTTGGCATAATGGCTATGTCGCTGGACTCCCCCATGTAGTCGACTGTGATTTGAGTCCCAGACCCGGTGGCTTAAACTCACACTGGGCACATGTACGTGTGTGCCCAAGATCCCAAGAAGAGAATGGAGTAGAAGGGATTGCGATGTGGCCATCCCCCCTGGGAGGGTGATTTCTTGCTTTCTGTCTGTTTCTCTCTGCCTGTTTGGCAAGCATACATGCCCTATAGCAAAAACCTCTTTAAAAAAAAAATCAACAACCTGGGACTAGCAGATGGCATAATGGTATGTCGCTGGACTCACACATGGCTGACCATAGTTCGAGGCCCAGACCCAGTGACTTAAAACTCATGCCAGACATATGTGCAGGCATGCCCAAGATCCCAAGAGGAGACTGGAAGAGAAGGGATTGTGGCTTGGCCACAGTCACCCCTCTGGGAGTGATTGCTCACTTTCTGTCTCTCTGTCTCTCTCTGTCTCTCTGGTGAGTACACGGAGTACAAGTGCCCTATAGCAAAAATCTCTTCTAAAAAAGGTAATAACCTTCACTTCCTTTGCTCAAAAAGTAAAAAATAGCAAACACGTTTAGTCTTCACTGGACAGGTTGGGAGATAAGCTTTCATCGTACTAATGTGAAGTCTATAACCATGAATGTGAGTTAGGCCATGTGTAGTTTTGTTGTTGTTTCCTCACATCGTTTTCTATATGTATTCCGCGTTCAGTGACATCGATCTTGTGGTGTTTGGAAAGTGGGAGAATCTACCCCTCTGGACCCTGGAAGAAGCTCTTCGGAAACATAAAGTTGCAGATGAGGATTCAGTGAAAGTTCTAGACAAGGCAACTGTAAGTTCATCAATATTTCATTTTGAAATATCTAGTTGTTGACATGTGAATCCTGAAATGTAATTTTGGAGGACATAGTTGGGTTGAGAGTGAACTGTTCTTTCACCTTGTTCACTTCACAGTGCTTGTACAAATGAACTTATTCTGGACATGACTTTCTTAAAAAAGAAAGAAAGAAAGAAAAAGAAAAACCTAATCATACACAATGCTGTAGAGTTTTTTTCAAATATAAAAAAGTTTATATGAAAGTACAGATTTCTATTTAACAGTTTATTATTACATGGAAGGTGTTGCCATTCAATTCTATCCCATTATGGGTTCTGGAAAAATTATATGGGGCCAGCACTATGGCCTGGTCGTTAGGGGAGTCAGATCCTATATGGCTGACTGAGAGGTTTGGGTCCTGGCCTTGGCGACTTGAAAAACACGTCGGGCATGTGTGCCCCAAATCCCAAGGGGATGGAAAAATGAAGGAAAAGGAATTGTAGCACGGCTGTGCCATGTTGGGGCATGCCGTCTACTTTTCCCTGTGGCAAGCACATACGCCCTCTTGCAAATTAAAAAATAAAATAAAACAGGGCCAGCCAGTGGCTTAAGGTGTCTGGATTCCACATGGGTCCCCAAGTTGTTTGAGTCCTGGACCAGTGACTTGAAAGACACACTGGATGCCTGTGCTTGTGGGTCAAAATCCCGAAAGGAGAAATGGAGGGGAGGGGTTGGAGTGTGACCATTCCCCAATGAGGGGTGCTTTTTCACTTTCCCCCTTTCTCTGTCTCTCTCCTCTGGTGAGCACATGTGCCTGTTGGCAAATTACAGAAAAAAATCTGCAGTGTAACGGCAGGCAAAAAAGAAAAGAAAAACATTGTATATAATTGAGATTTTGTAAATCAAGTCATATTTTAACCTTACCTTGAATTGCCATTAAAGAGCTTTCGTGGACACTCATCATAGAAATAAAGACATCTTTTGGAGAAGTTTGAATTTTTGCATGTTAGGGTTTTTTTAGAGCAAGACGTTGCACTGTTTCTTATGAAAAGCTGTTAATTTGGAGACCTGATTCTGCATGTAGTGCTTGCTGGCCTCAATATTTTCATCTTCCTGGTGCAGAGCTTTTTTTTTTTTTTTTCCTTCTCCCTAAAGAATATCTAGTATCACATATAAATGGTCTATCAGTTTGAGTTTGAGAATAATACTTACCTTTGCTTTTGGGGCTGTCATGTGATGTATCCATAGAAGACCAGGATGACTATGGTGTGTAGTATTTGGAACAGTCAATTTTAGTGTCCTCATGAGAGGTGGAGGTGGAGACCTCAAGTCTGTTTTTCTTTTAGAGAGATTTTCGCAATAGGGTGGATGCACTTGCTGGAGAGACAGAGAGATAGAAAGCAAGAAATAACCCCCCCTCCCAGGGGTGGTGGTGGCCATACCATAATCCCTCTCTATTCTTTCAGGATTTGGGGCATGCACACACACTCACCTAGGGTGAGTTTTAAGCCATTGGGTCCAGGACTTGAACCGCAGTCAGCTATGTAGGAGTCCAGCAATGGAACCATTATGCCATCTGTCGTTAACCAGAGACCTCAAGTCTGTTAACCTTCCATTCTCTGATGTAGTCATTTAATTTGGTTATAATATTGTACTTTCAGTTTTCCTTCTCTTTCTAGGTACCTATTATCAAATTAACAGATTCTTTTACTGAAGTGAAAGTTGATATCAGCTTTAATGTACAGAATGGCGTGAGAGCAGCTGACCTCATCAAAGATTTTACCAAGGTCAGCAAGTTTATAGTATTTATGCAACAAAACTAGTAGAAACATAATTTTGTTTTGAGATTGTGTCTTGGGGCTATTTTGAAATTCTTTGCTAAATTATTTTTGTGTGCATATTGCTGACAAATGCTTCTTAATCTTCTGTGCAATTGTTTTGCTTTTCTTCAATCTACTTGGAATGAAGTAATTTGCTTACAGTGTGACATCAGGTAAGGTGTAAGGGTTGAGAAAACATTTTAAGAAATTCTCTACTCTAAATCCTTCTTCTTAGAGACAGAAGTCATGCCACATGGTTGATTCCTGTCTGTTTTAGTCTCCAAGAGTTCAGATTAAGAACCTCCCTAGGGGTACTTTTCTAGATTTTAATTCCCATAAAGTAGTCCTTGCAAGTTTCTTTGCTTTTATCTTGAAATAATTTAATTCTATTTGTTTGTTCTGTTTTCTTCCTAATTAGGGAAGAATTTGCCACTCTCACCTTCAGAATATTTTATGTACTTAAAAAGTTGTCAGCTTTTCCCCTTAAGCTAAAACAATGTACCATTAGGCTTGTGTGTCTGTCTATCTATATATCTTTTCTGTCCACTCACTGTTTATTTTTCTTTAATAACTGTACTTTCTACCTATTTTTAAAAGAAAAATATTAACTACTTTTATTATCAGAACATTATATTTTTGTACAACTGGGCAGCAGACAGAAGAGCAGAAAAACAAAAAAACAAAAATGTTACTCCTGATCCCACTCTTTTGGAGTTGTGTGAGTGAGTGTGTGTGTGTAAATTAAAAGAAACTTTTCAAAATGAAAATAATTGCATGATAAAAATTTAGCAGTAGAAAATGACAGTAAAGTGCAAGTCACCAGATGCTGAGATCAATTTTACAGAATTTACCATCAACATTTTTTTTTTTGCTTGTTTCGTCTCTTATAGATTTTTCAATGAAAGGAATAGCACTTTTTTTTTTTTGAAAGGTTTTTGCTATAGGGCGTGTGTGCTCCCCAGACAGACAGAGAGAGACAGAGAGATAGAAAGCGAGAAATCACCCCCCAGGGGGATGACCATGCTGCAATCCCTTCTCCTCCATTCTCCTCTCGGGATCCTGGGCACGCACGCACACGCCCCCAGTGTAAGTTTTAAGCCAACAGGTCCAGGACGCGAACCATGGTTAACTACGTGGGAGTCCAGCGACATAGCCATTACGCTAACTGCTGGTCCCTGGAATAGCACACTTTATACACACTGTTATATGCCTTTTTAAAAAAGCTTAGTATTTTGGAGTTTTTAAAAAAACATCAGCACATGCTTCCTGTATATTGACTACAGTGAGTAGGCCTTTGTCGGGTGTACACATCAGGCTTTAGTTAACAGTTTCCCAGTGTTGTTTCTAGTTTTTTGTTTTTGTTTTTATTGTTTTTTTTTTTTGCTTTTGCTATTACAAAAAGTATTTAGGACCATCCTTCTGTACGTACATCTTTCATGCACGTGCAACGTGTTTGTAGGAATTGTCCTAGAAGCAAAATTTCTAGGTCAAAGGATATAAGCAAATTAAATTCTGTTGTGGATTTGCCTAATTGTTCTTTTTTTCTCTTAAGTTTTTTTGGAGAGGTTTTTGCTGTATGGCGCGTGTGCTCAGTAGAAAGACAGAGAGAGACAGAAAGCAAGAAATCACCCCCAGGGGAAATGGCCATGTCGCAATCCCTTCTCCTCCATTCTCTTCTTGGGATCTTGGGCACACACGCACACGCGCCTGACGTGAGTTTAAGCCACTGGGTCAGGGACTCGAACCGCAGTCAACTACTTGGGAGTCCAGCAACATAGCCATTATGCCAACTGGTCCCACCTAATTGTTCTTTTAAAAAAGACTGTATCTAGCCTGACTTCAACCATGTGTTTAAAAAAATGCTTGGTTTTTTTTTGTTTGTTTTTGTTTTTTTTTTGTTTTTCCATATTTTTGTTGTTCTTTTCCCATGCTTGCTTGCTTTGGTAAGATTTACAAAAGTATCTGAACTTTTTTAGAGTTCAATATTTTTTCCTTTTTTTTTCTTTTTAGGTTTTTGCCGTTGGGTGAGTGTGCTTGTTGGGAGAGACAGAGAGAGAGAAAGTGAGAAATCACCCCTGTGCTGAGATGGCTACTAAATTTGAGCTGTGAAATATTGCTTTCAGGGACTTGAAGATCTTCTGCTGAGACTTCTCCCTTCAGATTCGTTTATAGTGGGTAGGGCTACCTTCCCTCCATGCACTGACTGTCTAAACAGGTCCAAGTGAACAGTATCCAAACATATAAATATAATCAGGGTCAGAATATTCTTCAATTCCCACCGAATCTGATGCACAAAGAGTAAAAAATGGAAGAGATTGTGATCACCTCCTCCTGCACACGTCTGAACATTCAGATTAAACTTCAAGAATTAGGAAGAAACACACATCCATCAGATGACCAGTAATCACCACAGGGTCCCAAGAAATATGAGAAAGCAAGAAAATACCTCTCCTCCAAGGGAAAAGAGTAACTCTTCTTCATCCTCAGACAGTACAGTGGATCTCACGGAAGTGTCAGATAAAGAATTTAGAATATTCAGGACTAGCAGTTAGCGTCATGGCTATGTTGCTGAACTCCCATGTAGCCGACTATGGTTCGATCCTGGACCCAGTGGCTCAAACTCACGCCAGGTGCGTGTGCATGTGTGCCCAAGATCCCGAGAGGAGAATGGAGGAGAAGGGATTGCGGTGTGGCCATCCCTCCTGGGGGGTTATTTTTTGCTTTCTGTCTTTCTCTGTCTTTCTGGTGAGTGCACGTGCCCTATAGCAAAAACAAAACAAAACAAAACAAAAAACCTCTCCCAAAAAAAAGAATTTAGAATATTCATAATGACAAAGCTAACAGAGATGGAAGAGAGTGAACTGCAGAAGAAGCAGGAGAAAGGAGCCAATGAGTTCCCAGGGTAAGGAAGTTCTTGCAAGATCTGAAAGAGGAAATATACACCATGAAAAGAATCAAATGGAACTGTTAGAGATGAAGGCTGTAATACAGGAAGTCAAAACCTCCCTTGAAAGTATTAAAAGCAGACTAGATCATACAGAAAATCGCATCTCAGATGTAGAAGACAGAATCACTGGCCTAGAAAAAAGAAATACAAAGGACCCCAAATAGAATTAACCCAAGAAGATCTTCTCCAAGACACATTATAGCCAGGTTGACCAAAACCACAGACAAAGACAAGATACTAAGATTGGCAAGAGAAAAACATCAAATTACCAACAAAGGACATCCCATCAGGCTCACAGCAGACCTCTCATCCAAAACAATGCAAGCAAGGAAAGAATGGGAAAATATAGCCAAAGTGTTAAAGGAAAAGCAATTTTAACCAAGAATACTGTACCCGGCAAGATTTTCCTTCATATGAGAGGGAAACACAAGGACATTCTCAGATAAACAAAACCTGAGAGAATTTACCAACACCAGACCAGCTCTCCAGGAAGTTCTGAAGTGAGTGCTATACCAGGAAAACTAAATACAGACATATAGAACTAAGAGTTGAAAAACAACTAAGAAAATAGCCATCTTCATCGTAGGAACAAGTCTTGAGTTGAATAGTATATCCCAGAATTTAATTGGGAGGATCAGACCACAATAGAAGATAAAGTACATGAGACTGAACTGGTGAAATAGAATCTTATAACTTTTGACTAAAACATTACTGATTTTCTTCTGGGCTTTGTTAAGGATTTTTATCTTGTCTTGAGCTGATGATAGGTTCATGTATCTACTATTTGAACGAATCCTAACCAGTTTCCTGGCTTTAAGTTTTAAGCAAAGCTCTCTTAGCATTTCTTTGATTTTGATTTATTAAAGCTAAAATTGCTTTTCTTGAAATTAAAAAATATATTAAAAAATACCTATTTAATGACCGTCATAAGCTATACAGCATCAGCTAGATGCTACTTTATAGTGTATCTATTCTACTCAGAGTTTCACACCTAAAGTCTGACATGTATTCACAGATATGTATATATCAGCTGACCTTGCTATTCAAAGTAGTTAGATTATTTAAGATATTTTGTGAATCAATAAAATGTGTGTGGGGAGAAGGAATGGAAAGCAACTGTAAACACCAGAGATAGTGTTGGAGGAGGGTGGGAAATGGCAGAGGGTGAGAAATAGGGGGAAAAATATATATACATATGTGTGTATATATATATATATATATGAAACTAGAAATGGAAAATTATCGATGATAGCGTGTTTGATTAAGGCACTATGCAGGCACTATCGTGGATGGGAAATCACATTTTGTATGCTGTAACAATGCTCAGTGAATGAATGTAAAATTAATTAATTAAAAATTTTTAAAAATCCTTAAATATAAGAAAACTCAGCACTTCCTTTGCATGGAAGGTATTAGTTTTCTAATATAGGTATTACTTTTATCCAATTAAATGAACTTGACACTCTTAAACTTGAAATCATTTTTCAGTTCGCTGTCACTTAGAGTTTTTTTATAAGATACTGGGTTGTCAGGAAAGTCATGAAGTATTTTTCCTATGCAAAAATGCCTCATGACTTTCCTAACAACCCAATAATTTTATCTTGCAATAATCTCTGACTACTTATTCAAAAGATAATTTTCTTTGAAATTTTTAAATAATTTAAATGCCAGCCTGCTAATATTTCTGTATCACATTAAATATTGTGATTTAATCAGAAAAGAAAAAATAAATCCCCCCTCCAGGGTGTGGGGAATGACCATGCTGCAATCCCTTCTCCTTTCTCCTCTCAGGGTTTTGGGCATGCATGTACACATTCCTGGCGTGATTTTTCAAGGTGCCGGCTCTGGTACTCAAACCATGGTCACCCAGCGCCTTAACCACCCCATCACCTGCTGGCCCCTCAGTATTTTTTCTTTATTCCTATTGAGAAAGTGTGTGTGTATGTACAGGGAAGAGAAAGAGAAGCACCTTTCATATCATCTGGTCACTGTGATCCCCTTTCTCCAGGCTGTGGGATCTGGCCTCACTTGAGCTCAAAGCACATGGGATACCAGTGTGCCAGAGTTGGCCCGAAACTTTTTATTTATTTTTTTTATGGATGACATATGTGTTCACAGTAGAAAGTCTAGAAGACAGATAAGGGTAAAGCATAAAACAGAAATCACTAGTAATTCTACCTTCCTAGGCCATGGCTGTTAAGATTTCTTGCCAGATGTTTGTGCCTGCTGTTTCTCTGTGTCCGCAGCCTAGGGCCTGGCTTGTAGAGAGTACGGAATGAGCATGTGCAGGAGCCAGACGTGGGCTCATACGGGGCGTACTTGCAGCCCACAGGTTCTCATGAGTAGCCCTGTCTGGTTCTCTGTCAAACATGGGAAGGAGGGGAGGTGTGCGTGTGGTCATTGGCCCACATGGAAGAGATCAGACAGGACTGTTTCTGCAGTGGGGCAGTAGCAGCCTAATCTGAAGGACCCTGGTCTACAGTGGGAACACCACCTAAGAAAATGCATCCTTGGGAACCAGCAGTTAGCGTAATGGCTATGTCGCTGGACTCCCACGTAGTCGACCGCGGTTCATGTCCTGGACCCGGTGGCTTAAAACTCACGCTGGGCGCGTGTGTGTGCGTGCCTAAGATCCCGAGAGGAGAATGGAGGAGAAGAGATTGCGGCGTGACCATCCCCCCTGGGGGGTGATTTCTCGCTTTCTTTCTCTATGTCTCTCTCTGTCTGTCTGGCGAGCGCACGCGCCCTATAGCGAAAACCTCTCCAAAACAAAAAAAAAGAAAATGCATTCTTTAAAATCCCACCAATGAGTGCGTTAAGATGTGGTTCTGATACTGTTGTATTCTCTGTTTACAAATGCATACCATATGGCTGTGGCCATCAATGAGTATTACTAGACAGGCCGTTAGTGTTTTTGTCCTATAGAGAGTACCTGATACCATTATTTATGTGTGCATGTTTTAGATTTTACATGTAAGGTGAAAACCCTAATGACTTCTAGGTTAGTTCTTGTAATAGCTTAATCTTCACAGGAAATGAAGTATATGCTTATCTTCACCAGATTTTGTAATATGAGAACTAGCCTATGTTTCTGTTAATGCTGAGAGCTCTTACTGATGAAAGAGTTCATTGAAATAGAATTTCATTTCTTTTTCAGAAATATCCTGTATTGCCATATTTGGTTTTAGTATTGAAACGATTCTTATTACAGAGGGACCTTAATGAAGTATTTACAGGTGGAATTGGTTCTTATAGTCTCTTTTTAATGGCTGTCAGCTTCCTTCAGGTAAGTTTTGTGGGTATACAGAACTAGTGTGCCGTAAAAGTAAAAAAGATAAATTATCTGGAGAAATGTTCTGGAAAACATTTAGATTAAACTCTAGTTAGACTGCTTTTCTTGATTACTTACGGCTCTTCCCCTTCAGCTAGGTCTCTCTGTAGTTTAGCATGTAAGTATTTAAAACTTCCCAGGAAAGAATGTTTTTATTTTAATCGCATATGTATGCTCTCATATTTTTGAGACTTACCACTGCAAATTTTAACATAGTGCAAAAGGTTTGGCCTGGTTTCTCTACATGTAAATAACAGTAGAAATGCCAAACATAAGGATATCTTCTAAGCAACTAATCTTTTAAGTTTAGCTGGAATGGAGACCTGCTAACTGGGTAAGATGGGTTTGTCTTAGTATCGAGGGGTACGTGTGTGTGCACAGGGCTGCCAACTGCCCTGCTGCTTATGAGTCAGAACGACTTCCTCATGTGTCGGGCCATGGCTACAAATTGAGCCTACACACCATCCCCAGCAGTCCTGCACCCATGGGGCTTTCATGCTACGTCTGTCCTTAGTACAGCTTGCAGTTACCCCATTTCTGTTGACTTCTAAACCAACACAATAGGAATATGGCTTACAGAATTTAGGATGTCATTCATACCATCTCCTGGTGATTTAGAGAAAATCTAACATAACTTCTCTCTTTTTTTCTGTTTTTAGTTACATCCTAGGGAAGATGCTTGCATCCCCAACACAAACTATGGTGTTCTCTTAATAGAATTTTTTGAATTATATGGACGACACTTCAATTATTTAAAGACTGGCATCCGGATAAAGGATGGTGGTTCATATGTGGCCAAAGATGAAGTACAAAAAAATATGCTAGATGGCTACAGGCCATCAATGCTTTATATTGAAGATCCTTTACAACCAGGTATTGAAATTAGGTAAATTTGTGGGTATTCAGAGAGAGGGCATTATCAGTCACATTGGGACTTTTGCCATAGCGTGTGTGCACTCCCCCCCTCCCCAAGAGAGACAGGGGAAAAGGGAGAAGTCACATCCCGGGAGGTGGCCATGCTGCAATCCCTTCTTCTCCTCTGTCCTCTCAGGCCTCCAGATGTGCACGCACACACACACTCTCCAGTATGTTTCTCAAGTCCCCAGGTCTGAGACTTGAGTCTGGAGTCAACCATGTTGGATCCAGCACCCTAACCACCATGCCACTTGCTGGCCCCAACTTTTTTGCACTTTAAATTCTCTTTAGGTGAAAAGTGAAGGACTAACTTCTAAGTATAGTCCTATTTTTCTCATCAGAATATTTCATATGCAGACATCCCAAAGTAGACAAATGCATCAGGATAACACCTCAGGAATTTCCACATGACTTGGAAGTAGAATCCATTTGACTCTTTTTTTTTTTTCTTTTTCAAGAGTTTTTTTTTTTTTTTTTTTTTACCTTAGAGTGTGTGTGCCCACTGGAGAGAAAGAGGCAGAGACAGTGAGAGGGAAAGTGAGAAATCACCCCCCCAGTGAAGGATGGCCATGCTGCGTTCTCTTCTCCATTCTCCCAGGATCTTGGGCACACACACACGCGCCTGGCATGGTTTTCAAGCCACCTGGTCTGACACTTGAACCATGGTCAGCCATTTGGGAGTCCAGTGAGGTAACCCCTATGCCATCTGCTGGCCCCTCTGTTTGATTCTTTTTTTTTTTTTTAAGAGAGAGATTTTTGCTATAGAACACGTGCACTCACCAGTGAGACAGAAAGCGAGAAATCACCGCCCAGGGGGGATGACCAGGCCGCAATCCCTGCTCCTCTTAGGATCTCGAGCACACATGCACATGTACCGAGCATGAGTTTTAACTCTCTGGGTCCAGGACTTGAACTGCATTCTACTACATGGGAGTCCAGTGACATAACTGTTACACCATCTGCTTGTCCCTCCATTTGACACTTAAAAGCACAACAGAATAGCAATTAGTTGTTTGGGTGGGTTCATGTGCCTCTCCGGTTTGGAGGCGACTTTTCCTTTTCCTTTTTTTTTTTTTTTTCTTTCTATTTGCCCATGATACCAGCCAGCCATCAGCTAGGGCTTCAGTGAAATGATTCTGAAGTTCTTACAAGCATAAAGTTCCATAATATAGCTCTGAACTCAGGAGCCAAAAGGTTCAAAGAGATAATTTTTTAAAAAGAATTATTTTATTTAACTTTATTTAACTTTATTTATTTTAATTTGACCAGAGAGGGACAGAGCAAGAGAGAGAGAGGGAAAGCAAGAAAGCAAGCCACCAAGTCTGGGACTTGAACCACGGTCAGCCATGTGGGAGTCCAGCGCCCTTAACCACCGTGCCACCTGCTGGTCCCCAATGAGACAATTTTTAAAAATTTTGTCAGAGGGAACATTCCAGAGAGAGAGAGGAAAAGTGAGAAAATACCCCTGTGGGAGATGGTCACACTGCAGTTCCTTCTCCTCCATACCTCCCTCCTTTCGGGACTTCAGGTGTGTATGCACACATGCCCAGCATGTTTTTAAGCTGCGAGTCTAGGACTTGAATCACACAGGAGCCATCTGGCTCCTTAATCACTAGGCCATGGAGCAGTTCTCTCTTCTTTTTAGTCTTTGATTCTGTATAATCTGCTTTTTCCAGCTTTGTGTTAGCTTGTAAGTGAACAGAAAATTCCTTCCATGAAGTTATATTTACTTGCTGTATCTTAATATTTTTGAGCAATGTTTTTTTTCCTGATACAATTGTAAAATATTTAGATTCTGCATGATCAGACTTAAGTAGAAAGTGCTTTTCGTCATTTGTAAACTTTGAAAATGAGTGAGGAAAAGAGAGCAAAGAGATACAGTGTTTGCCTAGGATTCCTTTTCTGGCTTACTGAGCTGCCTTAGTCATTGAGGAAATATTCATTGGGAGCTTACTGCTGCAAAGGCATTATGCAAAGGACACAAAGTTTTTTCAACAAGATGATCCTTTGCTTTTCTTTGGGGGGGGGGGTTGCTATAGGGTGTGTGCGGTCGCCAGACAGACAGAGAGAGACAGAAAGCGAGAAATCACCACCCAGGATGGCCACGCTGCAATCCCTTCTCCTCCGTTCTCCTCTCGGGATTTTGGGCACGCACACACACGCGCCCAGCCTGAGTTTTAAGCCACCAGGTCTGGGATGCAAACCGTGGTCGACTACATGGGAGTCCAGTGACATAGCCGTTATGCTAACTGGTGGTCCCGGTCCTTTGCTTTTTTAGGAGCTCATAATTTAGTACAGGAAATACAGATACAGCTAATAGAAACCCAAAAAAAGTATTTCTAATTGAGCTTTGTGTCACTCTTAGGAAAGAACGGACAGCTAATTCTTTTGTTTAGATGACTGCTTATATATGGGATGGAAAAGTCCCTGTTGGGCTGGACTACATTCGTTCAGTCAATACCTAAGCCATAATAAAGTACTGGCTGCATGAGACACATATTCCCAGACCAGGGAGCTGTTGGATGACTGACAGCTCAGCTCCTGGGTGCAACTCTTAATGGGAAAGTTATTGCCCTTGCTCTCCTGGAACAGAGTTCCACATGAGCAGTGGTCAAGCTTACCAACTGTTATATACCTTTCTTTTAAAGGGAATGATGTTGGAAGGAGTTCATACGGGGCCATGCAAGTGAAACAGGCCTTTGATTACGCCTACGTTGTTTTGAGCCATGCCGTATCGCCAATAGCAAAGTACTATCCCAACAACGAAACAGAGAGGTAAAAGTCTAACTGAAATTAGCCCATTGTCAAAATTGGTTGTGGCTTCTTATCTTCAAATTAATGTGCATCCCCCCCCCTTTTTTTTAAATGCATGCAGCATATTAGGTAGAATAATTAGAGTAACGGATGAAGTCGCCACGTATAGAGATTGGATATCAAAGCAGTGGGGCTTGCAGAATAGGCCTGAGCCTTCATGCAACGGTAAGATTGTTTTTTCATTCACCGATTAACCGAGTATTAGAGGCTTTTCTCTGTTGTGTGTGTTTAATGGGAAGAAACGTTTTCCAATCTTTTGCCACTCTTTCAGGAAATGGTGTTACCTTGATAGTAGATACTCAGCAGTTAGATAAATGTAATAATAATCTATCTGAAGAAAATGAAGCCCTTGGAAAATGTAGAAGTAAAACTTCGGAATCTCTTAGTAAACACTCTTCAAACTCTTCATCAGGTCCAGTGTCGTCCTCTTCTGCCACGCAGTCCAGCTCTAGTGATGTAGTAAGTATGGAGACATGCTCTTCTGCACTCGGGCGCTTGTGCTGTTGCTGGGGTTAACTCCATCTAGAGGGCTCAGGCTACTTCCTTTTCTGATCGAGAGAAATTGTAATAACGCTCACACTTACGCTTTCCCTCAATATCTAATTACGGAAATTTTCAAGCGTACGGCAAAAGCAAAAAGTGAGCATTCATTTACCTGCCACTAGATGCCGTCATTAACATTTTACTGGTTTATAACACATCTAATTGTCTATCCATCCCTCTGTCTGTTCATTTATCTTACTCTCTGATCCGTTTCAAAGATGACAGATGTCAGTACACTTCCCCAATGTACTGCTGCGTGCACATCATTAGCCAGACTTTGGTATTCGCTTATAGTTTTCTCTTTGGTTATAAAATCGACATACAAGGAAATCTTGATCGTTACAGTTCATTAAATTGTATCAAATGCGTTTACATTCATAACCCAAAACCTTCACAAGATATAGACTATCACTATCACCCCAGAGAGCTCCCTGGTGACTCTTTCTAGGCAATCCCCAGGCCTGCCCTCAGAGGAAGCCACTGTTAATGATTTTCTAACACCATAGATTAGTTTTCCCTACTCCAGAGTTTTATATAAATGCAGTCATAGAGTATATACTTTTTTGTGTAAGGCTTTTTCTTTTTCTTTTTTCATTCAGAAGAATGTTTTTGAGCTTCCTGATTGAGTTTTTTTAATCAAGATATAATTTGTATAACATGAAGTTCACCATTTTGAAATGTCCAGTTCAGTGGTTTTTAGTATGTTCACAGGGTTGAACAGCCGTCCCCACTGTCTTCATTCCAGAACATTTCTGTCACCTCAAAAAGGAACCCTGTACTTACTAGTATTCTCTCCTAGTTCCTCTCTCCCACACCTGCTGGTAACCTCTAGTCTACTTTCTGTCTCAATCTTGACTGAATTTAAAGTGTTGATTACATCTTAAGTTACTGTTTTTATCAAGGTTAATTTTGAGTGTACTTGAGATCTACAGTGGGCTCACTCATTACTTGAATTGGATTTTATTAAGTGTATAACATAAAAAGTAATCTCAGTACATAAGGGACATAATTGAAAGTTGACAAGGGCCATGGATCCTCATGGAATCATAGATCCTCCTAAGCAGAATCGACCCCTGTGCCTTTCTGGTTCCTAGAGCAGCACTCTGGAGGACAGACTTCAAAGCTAGATGTCACAGACACAGAGACGGCCTCAGCAGGGAGCAGTAGCCTCTGAATGTGGGATTCTGAGATGCTGGTGCAGTACCAGGCAGAGACCAGGAGGGAAGTAGCCCAGTCTTGCCCAGAAGTCCACTACCTGTGGGAAGCACATGCCCACCTTCACTGTGTGGTTGGAGAGATAAGTGGTTTGTTACCACAGATTCTCAGACGCTGAGCTTCTTCCGCCCGCCCATTGTCTTCGGCTTGATTGATGACCTTGACCCAGGCATGGGACCTAGGTTCCTCACTATTTACCAGGGTCTTTCCACTATACCGCAATTTGCTTTCTGCAAATAAAAATGCAAATAGACACAGACCTCTGTAAGTTCCTCTAAGGCCCATCACAAGGTCAGCTATGAGCAGTAGATTTAACAATGACCAGAAGTCCTCTACGAAAATAAGTCATTTGAAATGTTTGGAGAATAACTTAAGCAATTAATTTTATAAATTCCTCCGTGTTCTTTCTCTAACTGTCAGATGTTTAAATTTAGTCCAGAGAGCACTTAGCTGAAATTGTTTTCCTTTCTGAGTGTCTTGTATCCGCATCACTAATATGTCACGTAATAACCCATGTGACTTGTTAGGATTCCGACGCGACACCATGCAAAACTCCGAAACAGCTGCTCTGCCGGCCGTCGGCTGGGAACCGAGTAGGGTCTCAAGACGTGTCCTTGGAGTCCTCTCCGGCAGTTGGGAAAATGCAGAGCACTCAAACCACTAACACGTCCAACAGTACCAACAAACCCCAGGTGTGTGACGCTTGTATTGAAATCCTAGTCCTCAGTACAAAATAATTAGATTTTCTTACATGCAAATAATACATGCCATGGATATGAAGAAGACTCTAGGCTTTGTTCTACCAAGTCCCAAAGCATGCCTGCTAACAGAGTGTTGAGGGATCTTTCTGCAATACCCCGTAGCATAAGCCTCATGGGAATGTGGTGACTGGTCCTTACAAGATGTCCCAAACAACTCACCTTACAAGTGTGTCATTAAAAAATTGCATCGAGTTACAAAAGGTTTCAGTCGTACTTGAAATAAACTTGCGTGAAGTTTATGCATGACCTCATAGGAATATCTTGCCTATCTGAGAATAATTATCGTTTTTTAATTAAATTTGCTACCTATTCGGTCATGGGGAAAGTCATGATGTATTTTTCTATGCAAAAACGTATCATGACTTTCCCAGTGACCCTGTAGTTGTCTTTGTCAACATGATCAGGTGGCCGTCAGGCATAGTCAGTGCCTGACATTAGCTTTGGCTTAAAAACTTGTATTTTTAGAGTTTTTCAGTTGCCTGGAGTTGTTATTGAACTACAAGAGGTGAATCAGAGTAAGGGGAGGAAGGTGCTGATACTGGGCTCCTGCCTAAGGCCATCTCAGCCTCTCCAGGTACTGCTGAGGCCCTGGAGAAAGACCTTTTGGCAGTGGAGAGTACTGTCACGTCAGTCAGCTCGTATCTGATTTGACTCTGTAACGCTTGGCCCAGATAGCTTTAGCCATGTGCGCCAAACACAGACTCCAGAGAAATAGCAGTCGGAACGACAGAGCTGGCGGAAGAGACTGGTGTCATGAGAAAGCCACAGGTGCCTGGCAGCAGGAAAGGAGTGGCAGCTGTGCCGGCCCCTGCCAGCACACCTTTGTGTATCTAAGTAGCTTTTTCTAGGCCAGCAGGTGTCCTGGAGGTTAAGGCTCTGGATCCCATATAGCCAACTGTCCAGTTCAAGTCCCAAGCCCAATGGCTTTAGAATCACACCAGACACTTACGCGTGCCTGCCCAAAATCCCAGGAGGAGACTGGAGGAGAAGAAATTATGGCACAGCCATTCCTCCTGGGGGGTGTTTTCTCACATTACCCCTCTCTCCCCTTGCCTCTTGTCTCTCTCTGGTGAGCATACATGCCTGATGGCAAAACTAAAAAAAAAAAAAAACAACAACAACAAAAAAAACTTCTTCTATAAGTTTTTTAAGAATTATTTATTTAACTTTATTATTATTTCTTAAAATTTACTATAGAGCATATGCATTCACCAGAAAGAGAGAGGGAGAGAGAAAGTTAAGTCTACATGTCTAGGACTTGAACCATGATCGACCATATGGGAGTCCAGTGCCTTATCCACCACACCACCTGCTGACCCCAGGATTGGTAGTTCTTAAGGAACATCTTACATTCTGCACACTGTTAGAAAGGCAAGATAGTGGTCCATGTTTTCCCATAGTTCCTTTAAAATCGCATATCAGAGTGTCAGAGCTTGAGTGTGCCCCCGTAACACCTTGTTCGGCCTGCCGGGCGAGTCAGCGGTCAGTGTCGTAGCTCTCCAGCCAGCACCTCCCTAGTTTTGAAAGCTCCCCCTGGATTTTGGTCTTGAGAGTGCTCTGCTAATCCACAGTCCTGTTGACTCAGACCACTTTCTTTCTTCACAGCATGGATCAGCAAGGCTCTTTCGTTCTTCCAGCAAAGGCTTCCAAGGTACAACTCAAACAAGCCCTGGTTCCTTGATGACAAACAAACAGCATCAAGGCAAATCCAATAATCAGTATTACCATGGCAAAAAGAGGAAACACAAGAGGGACGCGCCCCTCTCAGACCTCTGTAGATAGTCGGCGCTGTGCTATGGACCGTCTTCTGTGTGCAATGATCTCATGCTCAGGACAGTTGCCTAGGGACTCCTGGGACACATTCAGGAGCTCACACTGTTCAGACGTCGACTTAGCAACTGCGTTTTTTCCCAGCTCGCCACGGAATGGATCATGAAGACTGACAACCGCAAAAACAAAAGCAAGCAAAAAAGGGGAAAAAAAAAGGCTGCTTATTTGATAAGTCATATGCTACAACAGGGTCATTTTAAGATTTAAAGCTTGAATGTAAAATAAATATATTTCTCATTGGCTTTATGCAGAGTTATAGGGAATAGTATTCAGTGTGGGTAGGGTGATAGAAACAAAAAAACCATTTCAGAGGATGGGTGGGAAAGGAAAACAAAGGTATCTTATAGGAAGTCCAGATTCCAAAGGGGAAAGTGATCTGTGCATGTTTTTTTTTTTTTAATATTTTTGCATATATTTACCATTTTATTGTGTGTATATATAGAAGACCATATAGGAAATTGATATTTGTAATAGTGGATTTGTTAATACTTTTTACATAACATTACTGTTTAAATTGTAAACAGATTTTTTCTCAGGATTAGTTTGAAAAATAATCTGAATTGTCATCTTAACATCCATATGTAAGGAAGTGATTAGTTCTGTTACTCAAATTTGTTTTCCTCAGCATTGAAATGACTTAATGGAAACTTGTGACCTGCTGCAAAAATTTTTCCTCTCTAAAGAAAAGGTTTATGGTGGCAAATGACGTTTATTTTATTTTGTAAAAAAAAGAAAATATATATGTACTATGTACTTTTGTGTAAACACTGAAAAATCTCTAGTCATCTCTGAGAATTAACTTGCAACTGTTTTCTATAGTGCTGTCGTCTTGGGCAAGTACATGATTTTGTGTTCGTTTCCTTTACAGTCTTTTTTTTTTTCCCTTGTCTTTTCTTTTCTTTTCTTCTTCCTAATAGGAAACAAACAAAAAAGGCCCCCGTGCTCTGGTCTCATTCCTGTTGCAGTGAACCTTGAGTCCCACAGACTGCATGCTGGCTCCTCTAACCCCGTGTGCTGCGTGTGCTTGTGTTTCTCATCACGTAACCTTTTTTAAATCCATGCTTAACTACTGTGGGAGAGAAGAACTGTAAACAGCTTTAATTAAATCATACTTATAAAAAACTATTTTCTTATACTCCACTTTATGCTTTTGGTATTGTTGATCTTTAAAAATTAAATGGTCTTTGATAATGGATCTATTTTGTATTGCTTTATTAAGACCAAATACTTCTTGTCATCCCATTCTCTATCCTCTCCTTTCATGGAATTGTTATCTTTAATTAAACCTTTTTTAAACATTGGCTTGGTTCAATCATACTGTAAATTTTGGTTGTGGTCAGTTTCGAGTGCAAATGAGATGTATAATTCTGTTATTCATCACCTGTCGAGTTTGAAACTCAGTTGGGAATATTTAATATAATGGAATGTAAGTGACATTTCCGAAAGCGCTTTCTTTCCAGGTGAAAGCTCTTCTGTTTAGCATCAGTATGTGTGGCCCTGTCAAATACAGCCATTTCTGAGATGAGATTCTTTTATA